TAAATGATGTTTATCTGAAAGTGTAACAATGCAAACAGGTTTTGTGTAAAGGGTAGGATTAGGGTCAGGGGATAGAAAATATCGTTTGGTCAGTATAAAAGTTAAAGAAGTCTATGGAAAGTCCCCAAAATTCATAGAAACCTAACGTGTGTGTGTGTGTGTGTGTGTGTGTGTGTGTGTGTCACGAGGATAGTAAAACCTGAAATTTTTGACATTGTGGGGACTGGCCTGTGGCCCCATGAGGGAATGTTTATTTTTTTTTAAATAGTAAATGATGTTTATCTGAAAGTGTAACAATGAAATCAGGATTTGTGTATGGAAAGTCCCCAAAATTCATAGAAACCTAACGTGTGTGTGTGTGTGTGTGTGTGTGTGTGTGTGTGTGTGTGTGTGCGTGTGTGCGTGTGTGCAGGTCTGGTGGTGCGGGAGGCCAGTATCGAGATCACCCGTCAGCAGGTGGAGGAGCTCTTCGGTCTGGAGGATTTCTGGTGTCAGTGTGTGGCCTGGAGCTCGGCAGGAACCACCAAGAGCCGTAAAGCCCACGTCCGGATCGCCTGTGAGTCCAAACACACTACAGCACACACCTGACACACACACAAACAGGACCTGAGACAACATGGAGGAGTGTATGCTGACGTTTCCCTTTCCTCTGGTGGAGCTGTGTTGCGTTTACATTCTTGTGGTGGTTTTCCTCATTTAGTGTTGCTAACAAAAGCAGCATCCTTAATCGCACCAATCACAGCGCTGGTGTTTATAAGCAGCTGCTGACCTCACTCCGTCCAGCAGCCTTCTTCTGAAGAGTTTATATCCACGGACAGAAATCAAGCTTGATGTTGCATGTCTCTTTGCGTCTCAAACCCAGATACCTTTACAAACCCGTTTCAGACAATACAGTGACATTAGAAAGGTGTGTGAATGTGATTTATTAGATCAGGCAATCACAAAAGTTTTTATCAGTCAAACCCCTTTCAACTGAAATATGTACTTATCCCTGAGATTTTAAGTTAATATTTCAGTTATATAACAACACATTTGACGTATGACATGCAGGTAAACAGATAAAACATTTAATGTATTTTTAAAAAGATTATTTATGCAAATTTTTGTGTATTAATAATTAAATATAAAAAATACTTCAATCATAAATATAACAAAATATTTGATGTATTTTTTAAAATATATTTTTATTTTATGCATTTTTTGTGCATTAATAACTAAATATAAAATAAATACTTAAAAAATTAATATAATTTTTTTGTATTTTTAAAAAATATTTTTATTTTATGCCATTTTTTTGCATTAAATATAAAAATAAATACTTAAATCATACATATAACAAAATATTTCATGTATTTTTAAACATTTGTATTTTATGTAAATTTTTCTGTATTAATAATTAAATATAAAAATAGATGCTTAAATCATACATATAACAACATATTTAATGTATTTTTAAACATTTTTATTTTATGCAAATTTGTGTATTGATAATTAAATATAAAAATAAATACCTAAATAAATAAGATATATAACACATTTTTGTATGTATTTAAAAAAATATTGTAATAATTATGCAAATTTTGTGTATTAATAATTAAACATAAAAAATAAATACTTAACAAAATCATATATAAAATAATTCAAATGAAAAAAGGAAAAATCTTAAGTTTAATTTATATATATATGTTTATTGTTGTTGTTTTTCTTTATGGTTTATTCTTGTTTTATTTAAATATTTGATTTAATAGGTAAAAATAAAATAATTAAATAAAAAATATAATACAAAATTTAAACTTTAAATAAAAAAATTTAATATTTATATTCACTGCAGATTTTCTTAGATTTTCTCTTTGTATTTACATTTTTATTTACAGTAAAATACACTTTCGTTGATATTATATGATCTAGAGATTTTTAGGTGTGACTAAAATGTGCTTCTATTTGGGCTGCTGTTATATTGCTGAGAACAGTTGGTCAGTTTCCAGCAGAGAGCCGTGGTGAAGCAGCTTGTTTTTCCAGCATGAGGAGCCGCTGCTGTACTGAAACCTCACTCGTTCTCAGCTCAGACGGAGGAGATCTTCAGCGTGTGAATGAGAGATGAGTCTGCTGTGTGAAATGAGTCAGTCATGAGACCAGAACAGTCATTTCTTCATGAATCACACTACTCTGATCGGGCTGTTTGTTTATTTTTGCATGTAGCCTCGGAACACTGCAGCCATTTATTGTCGGTTTAATTCTGTTTGCTGTAGATTCAGGAGGAAACATTACAGTATTTGCTTTTTCAGTGAAACACTGCAGCTGGCACCTGGTTAGGGCACTTAATTACTCCTCCTCGTTGACCTGTTGATCTCCTCATGGGCTTTAGTTACAGTCGATCTCTCAGTCGAGCTGGTCTCAGGTCAGTGTTCTGCTCTAATGATCGTAACCTTTGATTCAAATCTAAACGAGTCTCTATTCAGATGTCCGCTCTCTCTCTCTCTCTCTCTCTCTCCAGAGGCTAATGGAAACAGCAGCGATCATTTAGCCTTTTTCAGCGTCCCGTCTGTGACAGATGTTTTAATCAGGGCCTGAGTAACACTCCAGAGCGATAAATAAGCAGCGTTTTGTTGTTGTGGATTGCTGATCAATGGAAGCGCTGTAAAGTTCAGGAGCTGTAGAAAGCTGGTGCTCTCATTGAGAATATTAATGGAGAGCGTGATTTGTGAGCGTGTCGCATCGGGCACTTCCAGCGTGAGTTATGAGGGGACGAGCTTCGATCCGGACGCAGATGCTGTTTAACACGGACTCACACACTGCTGTGATTTACCTCCACACAACACACTCAACTAGAGAGAGAGACTCACAATAGCACACTACTGTGATGCTCATACTAGCGCTGCTGTGGTTTTACTGTCACAATGGAATGAATACCTGACTGAAATACTGCGTTTGTCAAAATGCACAATATACAACTAGAGCACAGTGTGTGAAATACTGTATCCAACAATGCAATGCACTTGACTTGACCTTCCATTTACAGTGTGATGAATGAACTGGAAGTCATAACAGCCTTTATTTATAACCTTTTTACAGGCTTTTACCTAAAGAGACTGCCAAATTATAAGACACAGATTGTTTTAAAATGCAAATTTATGATTCATTTGTAAGATGATAGCTAGATGCTGGTTATTGTGTTGGAAAAAAATAGTATTTTTACTATATTTTAAACTGCATTTTATTTTACTATATATATATATATATATATATATATATATATATATATATACACACATAAAACTTAAAAGTGAAAAAAAAAAAAATGTATTTTTTAAATATATTTTAAAAATGATGTTGTTTAAAAATAGTTTTTTTTTTTAAATTATGACTTAAAAAGTATTAACTATATTTGATTTTACTACAGTATATATACATAAAACTTAATACTTAAAAATAAGTATGTTTGTATATATGCATACATGCATAAAATTTGTATTTTGAATTACATTTGAATTACATTCAAGTTTTAAGAAATAGTTAAGCATTTGTAATGCATTAAAAACTTAAATATTAACTTAAATATTAGTTATATAATAATTATATTTTTTATATTTTGATATTAAAAATAGCTTGCAGTATACTGTGAAATATGGTGCATTTTGGCAGTATGCAGTTTAGTTTTTCAAACAACCTATATTCAAAATAGCATACTAGAATACTATTATTACCATTTCTGCAAAATATAGATAAAGCAGAAATTATAGTACGCTATTCTTATCACTGCAGTCCTTCATGCTTGATGTTCAGAAGAGAATACTAGCTTACTCTTACTGAATACTACAGAGTATGCTCTGTATACTACCTACTGTACTATTCATTTAGTCAAACAGTGTGCATTATTCCCTGACAAACCATTTCAAACACTGTCACATACTATTGCATGTTTAATTCAGTGAGAGGCTTCCAGATAAAATTATTTTAGCATTTATAATCTAATTATGTGTAAATATGTATTTAATGTCGCAGCCTGATCAAATAATGAATCATAAAAGATGTTAAAAATCACAGTTGACTTTTCAGTTGTTAGACTGGAAGTAGGTTGAGTGCAGTGCAATGCATTATGGGATGTAATATATTCTGTGCAGTGTGCACATTTAGTAGGTCATCTGGATATTTCAAGCATATGGGAAAAGTGCATACTATACATGGTATGCACGCTGTATATACTGCAGCAATCATAGGCGTAGTATGCTGTCCCAGTCTCAGTGTGTACTGAGGGCTGTTTTGTGGGTTTGAACGCTGATCTGGATGCAAACTCAGTGATTAAAGCTCAAATCAAATGCCGGATTCCTTCATTGGTGTTCTTATTGGCTGACGAGAGACTTCAGCTATGTAAATGGTCCTTAATTCACTAACCTGTGTAATTTAGCACAAGTAGCCCAACACATGCACTCAGTGTAATTGTTTTCACATGCGTCCACGTGTGCGGCCGCGGCTAGGCAGAGGAGGCTTATGGGAGCACGAGTGCGGTCAGGGGTTCGAGCGGATCTGCTCGCTGCGTTTGGCTGAGAGGAGCCGTCATCATCGCGGCCAACACAAGCTGTGAGATTCCCCCCGAAGCCAAAGCCAACAGGAGACGCTTTGTTGTGTGTGTTTCCCTCAACGCATTTCATACAGTGGCAGATCTCAAAGCAAACTCCACTTTTAGAAAGGAAATCTGTGTTTCATTCTTCTTTCTGTTGTGTTGCTAGGGTGTTTTGGGTGGTTGCCAGGGTGTTTGTGAGTTACACGCTGAATTTTAATACTTGATGTCAGAGGTTTGTTTAGAATATTCATTCATTCTTCTTTCTGTTGTGTTGCTAGGGTGTTTTGGGTGGTTGCCAGGGTGTTTGTGAGTTACAAGCTGAATTTTAATACTTGATGTCAGAGGTTTGTTTAGAATATTCATTGTATAAAACATTTAATGTTTTCAGGCCTTTGTAAGATTCAGCTGAAGTTAAATGCTTGAATGAAATCTGACTGATGTTTGCATGTTTAAAACTCACTAATGGGTTACCAGGTTTGCTTGATGGTTTCTATGAGGTTGCTAGGTTGTTTTGGGTGGTTGCTAAACAGTTTCTAGGGTATATTCTGCCTGTTTTGTTGTCTAACAGTTGTTATACAGTTGCTGTGGCGTTCTGGGTGGTTGCTAGGGTGTTGTTAAGAAGTCTCTAAAGTGTTTTTGATCCAGAAGCTGCTATATATGGTAGCTAGGGTTTTTGAGGGGTAGTTAAGAGGTTGCTAGGGTGTTCTGGATGGTTGCTAGGGAATTGCTATGAAGTCTGTACAGCATTTTTGGTCAAACAGCTGCTGTATGGTTGCTAGGGTGTTCTGGATGGTTGCTAGGGCGTTGCTAAAAAGTATGTAGAGTGTTTTTTTTTGGTTGAACAGCTGCTATATGGTTGCCAGGGTGTTCTGGATGGTTGCTAGGGAGTTGCTAAGAAGTCTGTAGTTTTTTTTTTTTTGGTCGAGCAGCTGCTATGTGGTTGCTAGGGTTTTTTGGGTGGTAGTTAAGAGGTTGCTAGGGTGTTCTGGGTGGTT